TCATGAATATATCGGCATTTGGGACCTTTGTTACAAGTACCTAAACAATATGTGGTTAGCTGAAACCCAAATCGCTCCTCCTCCAAAACCTAAAATAAAGGGACAATTTGAAATTTGGGAAGAAAGGAGGTACCCGTGTTGGTGAATGATTTGCATGGCTCGTTGATCTTAACGACTCCGTGCTTCCTGCGACCGAGTTAGCGAATTCACACAAAAAATGCAATTGTGGGTTTCGCACCTAGTGGCTTTGATTATCCCTTCACGATACATATTTCCATTCTTGCTTCTATAGAATTTGACACCTCCAATTAAAGTAGTTTTTGGGGTAGTATTTGCGGAAGTAAGATCACCTGAAATAAGTGAGCATGGAACACATAGTGATACCACCTTGTGGCTTGCTGCAAACGAAGAGTTCTCACCAGGGGCTTTCACAAGTTTGCTACCGTTCTTTGTGACAATGAAACGGATTCCGTTGACCGTAACCTCATAATTGGTTGTTCCAGTAGGTTGGATCAAAGAAGAGCCAGAACTCGCACTTAGGCGTTGCAAATGTCTGCTGAGCTTTAACTTCTCCCGTTCATCCCTTTGTTTGAGTTTCTGTTTTCTGGTTTCCTCAATGGCTTTAACGCGGATCTGACTATCTTTCTCAAAATACGACTTGTTAATCAACTGAAGGTGACGATCGGTTTTTGTGATGTAGCTAGCAGAAGATGATCGCTCGTTTTCATCTGCAGATGCAGTTACGTTTGATGAATCCGACTGTGACGGTGGGACGGAGGGACCACCGTTTAACACAAGCGTTCGATGCCGCACGATACCAGCACCGCCTCTTCCACCTCGATATCCTCTGGTAGAATACGCGCCCCTATGACTACCTCGACTACCTCTCCAGCTACTGTTTGCATAGGGATGGTATGCATAAGCTCCATGTCCTCCTCGACTATTCGATTGTGAATGGTAAACATTTGAAGGAGCATGTGTTTGATTAGATGGATCTGTTGACTGGTTATTCTTATGTTGATTGATTTGACCTACATAATGTATTAGCTTATGCCCAACTCGGAAAAAGAAACAAAGAATGTTTGTGTTAATGATATTGATAATGGGGTGCTCTACCAGCTAGACGACTGATTTGTTCTAAGATGGCTTGGTCTTCTGAAGCCATGGTTGTATATCCCTATCAGTTAGTGTATGAATGACGCTCTGGTATATTATCAAAACCTTAAGATAATATTATATCAAAAGACTTATTAAATTGTCAGTACAATGGACGTTCGTTTGTTCAAGGAATGATTCTTGTAATCAGTAAGGAGATACAAGTAGTGCCGAGTAAGATTTGTCATCAAACTACAAACGCCATTACTAGCGCCTATCGGCAGTCTGGCTCAATATCCGACAAGGCTGCGACTTTTCAATATCATTATTGATTGAAAGGCAACGAACAAAGGACTGTTGATCTAGTTCTTAACAACCACAAACTACTTATCTACAAGTAGGACATATAGAGGACATCTTCAGTTCCAGAGAAGAACGATATACCTTTTTGATTTTTAATAATCACTACACACATACAAAATGGCAGACGCAGTCATTAAGCCCGATCCAGAGGCAGCGGTCGCATCACCCAGGTTCATGGAGGATGACGATATATATGAGGATGCTGGAGACATGGCGATTAATGAAGACCCTAGTTTCCAAAATTTATGGTTGGGTCGTGTTCCCAAGTACGTTTGGAATGCATGGAATGAAATGAGTGAAGATTTGGATGAGGAGATACAGATTGGTACCATTCGCAATTGTCGAGAGAGAATGCCTGACGGCACTATTAAGGTATGGGCACTCTAGTTTGCATTCAGAAAGTGAGCTAACTTGAGCTATAGGACTCTTATTCCATGTTACTAAATTCCAATCTTGCGCAGCATCAGACTGTTCCCAAGGAATATAACCTTGATATCACCAACTCGAATGTCAAGAATACCTTCATTTTCTCGGAGCAAGATCTTCCAGGATTCAAATCGAAATCAAGACAAAAATTTGCTTTGGAGACTGCAAATATGCCAGCAAGACTAACCCGTGGAAAGATTGAGAAGCCGGCAAACAAGCAACCATGGGATCCTAATAAGAAATTCCAACCTCAATTTCGGAAGGCAATTCCAAGTATGTTGATATAATAATCATAAATTCGGAATTTGCTGACAGAAATCGAATAGAGAGAACAAAGCTTTCCGGTAGGGTTGTACATGAATTGAGTTGTATTGCCGTACAGAATGAAGAATCAGACCGTCTTCTAGCCATCAGGACTTTGGAGGCTATGAAACCCAAAGTTGGCACGAAATTTCTCAATGAGGATCTTGATGTGGGCCAAGGTTTCATTCAGCCTGGTACCATCAAGGCTTCGGATGCTTATAGGAGCTTCATTGTAAGATATACGACTCATGCCTACATTTCTTTGCAACATTTGTACTAACCTAATCAGAAAACCAAGAGTTCCACTGCTAGTGGTAAGCCGCAACTTACAAAGACCGCTCGTATGCCAGAAAATGAGCTTCTGGATAAGATCTTCGAATGTTTCCGTGAGTATAACTACTGGTCTATGAAAGCACTTCGTGCCAAACTCCAGCAACCAGAAGCATATCTTCGTGAAACACTCGAGAAAATCGCTTTCTTGGCAAAGACTGGTCGTTTCGCAACACAATGGTCATTGAAGCCTGAGAACAGACCTGATAACTATGAGGTTGCTGCTGGCGATGCTATTGCACCTGGTGAAGACACAGACCTTGGCGACGACGACGAAGATGATGATGAGGAGGATGTCAAGTTTGAAGACGTCTAATTGCGTGACTGATCTTACAGTATGCATTCTACGGCGTTTTAAGGGGCAAGGTTGCATAATGACGGTGTTATTCACATGATCAGGTTGACATACGGGAAAGCACGATGGCATGGCGTTACAAATTGTCCTTCGTGGATTTAGGTTGGTTAATGGCGGAACTCATTTGTGCGCAGAGATCTTAAATTGAGTTGTAAATTATCATAATATCAAAGCAAAATTCATGATCGATATGTGTTCCGAGTGCATGCCGATTGGAAATGATCTCGGAGGGTATCACTCTGGATAATCCGATGTGGCACTCAATGACGAACGAACTTAAGTTCTAAAAAAAACTCATTACAAATTTGTAACAATATCTACACAACTGTCTATCCATATTTGAACATTCACATCGACGTCTATTTCTTCACCATTCAATTGTAAAAGTATGCTGGTAGAGCCTTGACCTTTTCTTTGATCTGCCAGATTGCGAGCCATTGGCTTTCGCATTCCGTCATTTTGTCTTGCATCCATCTCCACTCTCACATCAATAAGAATTTCAAAAAATGGCAAAGATAACTGGAAGAATTGCTTCTAGAGCAATTACTCCTAGTCCGCTCTGCAGACTAAGTAGAGGGGTTCAAATGTCGGCCAGCTTTGCTACACCCCTGCGACGATATCAATCTTCATTACCAATGGCGTCCTCCCACCTCAAGCGTTCCCTCCCCAGGCCGTCGCGTAAGTCCCAAATACCTATACGACTCTTCTCAACAACTCGACGCATCGACTCATCTCCCAAATTTACATACGGTATCTCAGCATCGTATTGCGCCAAAGAAAACCGCTACGACCCTACCAAGAATCTCACACCCTTCAATTCCTATAATCCTATCCCCGTACCTCTGAAGCCCGCCAACCGCAGGCCTGCCTCTGGCCAAGATGCATATTTCGTGGCGCCCATATCTAATACCTCAGATATTGCTCTCGGAGTCGCAGATGGGGTAGGGGGATGGATTGATTCAGGTGTCGATCCCAGCGATTTCTCCCACGGTCTATGCGAGTACATGGCGCATACGGCATCCGTGTCCAATAAGATAGATGAAGTTCCTATTTCTGCGAGAAGGCTATTGCAAAAGGGTTACGATTTAATTTGTGCTTCAGGCAAAGTGCGTGCGGGGGGAAGTACGGCTGTTGTAGGAATCTTTAACTCGGGGGGAAATATGGAAGTTGCAAATCTGGGAGATAGTGGATACATACAATTGAGGTCGGGAGCTGTGCATTCGGCGTCTGAATTCCAGACGCATGCTTTTAATACACCGTATCAATTAAGTTTGGTTCCCGAGGCGGTGATGAGACAGGCGGCGAAATTTGGGGGACAACAATTGATGGACTTGCCAAGGGATGCAGAGGTCATGAGTAAGGAGTTGAAGCATGGGGATGTGGTTGTGTTCGCTAGTGATGGGGTTTGGGATAATCTAAGTGGAGGGGATGTACTGAGGATTGTGAGCAACAGAATGCAGCACAACGGAGTTTGGGTCAATGGAGCAGGGGGAAAAGGAACCGGGGTGGGAGAAAGGCTTAGAGAGACAATAGAAGAGAGCGATGACGGTTCGGCAAGTTTGAGTTTGCAGAGTTCTTTGGCTGTAGATATTACTGGGGAAGCTAAGGCGGCAAGCCTCAGTTTGAGGAGGGATGGTCCGTTTGCAAGGGAGGTCCAGAGGAGATATCCAGATGAGAAATGGAGCGGTGGGAAGTCAGATGATATTTGTGTGGTTGTAGTGGTGGTCGCAGAGGAGGGGAAATGAGCGCAAGATCAAAATGAGAAGAGATGGAAACAGGATTCCCAGAAACAACTGTTTGTATGATATGGTGGCGGTACAATACGAGAACAATTAGAAGGTTGGGGAAGGGCTGACATTGTGTTATATATACCTCTTGCATGGAAACAGGCGGGCGGCAGACATCTTTAAACGGCCATTTAGATTGTAGAATGCTACACAGCGTATAATTATTATAGAGTGATGGTCTACATACAGCTGCCTTACTATCGCTTTCAATCTGAACTGTTTCATAACTTTGGGAAATGGGTAAGGGAACTACTAATAAGTAAAATTTGTGATGTTTGAACTTTTTTTCTACAGCGCATTCCCTTTCATTGTGCACCAGGTTTATATGTTCCTTCAAAAAATCAGTTTGTCATTCCATCACTAACATTAGCCACATAGTCCACAAACCCAGCATTTTCACCCTCTCTTCTCAACAGATATCCGAATCTTTCACTATTATTACCTACCCATCCTGGAATATCACTATTCTCCATCAATATCTCATACTCCTCGCCCTTCCTATCCCATAAATCCAGACCCTTCCTGACTCTATCCACTATCCTGGCTTCACTCCTATATACCTCGCGATTCAAAGTTGTATGCGAAAAGCTTGCCATTTTATTCAATGTCTCCGCAATCGTTGAAAAGCAGCTCGAACAATGCCAAGACGCATTAGCCAGATTTCTTTTTCGAAAATAGTTGAAGAGCCTGAAACCACCTTCTCCGTTTCTCAGGTCGGCTGGGAGAATGGTTTTTGTGGGACCGGCGTAGATTGTTGCTTGAGGATGAGGCCACTCGGGACCTTTATGCAGGAACTGGAAACCATAGTAGTAGAAGCGACTGCTTAGCGTGAGCCGCTTATTAAAATCACAAGCTCGTAGGAGGTCAAGAGTCTCGGGACGTGGGATCTCATCAATGTCCGAAACGAGGAGGACATCTCCAATGTTCGCGGTCTGGGTGCCGTTTAGTCGTGGTATCACTTGTGTGAACATGGCATTGCGTTGATGATCTTCATAGTCCCATGTTCTTCGAGAGGTTAAGGGCCGGTTCTCAAGGAGATGATAAATTATCTTCGGAGAAAATTGAGGAAAACGTGACTGGTTATCGAGAAATAGGAGAGGTTTGGAATGCCCAGTGAAAGTCATATTAGATTCAACTATAACAAAGTAATCGACATGGTCTGCGAGAGTGTGTAGACGAATTTCGAGCCAGTCAAGCTCTGAGCTCAGCATGAATAGATCATAGACCTTTCGTGGTCTTTCAGATTGATATTGACGCCAACCTTGTGCCTGACATATATTGTGGCGTGAGTTGGTTGTCTCAGAGGAGAAACCTAGTTGTGATATGTCTGAACTGCTGTAAAAAAATGAATTCAAGACTAACAGAATCGCAACACCAGGCAACAAAGGCAACAATTTTCGGAGCAAAGCTCCAGGAGTTCTTCTCATGAGAGCTACTGTGATCCCCTAGATACCGAATGATGCTGATCATTCATCCTCTCAAGTTCACAGAATTACAACTGATGTATCAAAACAATACCTGCGTAATGAATGGTTGAAATGAAGTTGGTAGCCGTACAATAGTCACCAACAAACTGTTATGGCGATGCGCAAATTAAAGGAACCGGAAACAATGGAGAAAGAAATCAACGCCTCCAATTACTGAGGTCTTTGATTGCGCTTACCTCGTATTTATTACCTACCTACCTAGGTACTTATAATAGATATTGGATAGAACAGTTTGATTCACTGCCTCCTTTCAACAAATGATTGAGAGACAGGGGAAATAGAAAGCTCTAAATACCTACTCGGTTGAAAAACTACCTTAAACCAGCTAGTAAGGTTACCAAATCGTTACTAATCTCATAATAATATTTTGTTATTAATGTACTAACATGTTACTATTAATTAGGATTATAAATCAACGACGAATCAAACTATGGATTTCATGAAAATAACATGTGCCAACTCGTATTTTATATTAAATGTGAAATCAATAAATGGATTGTGAATACTTTTCTAGCACACTCAATTTCGGCCTGTTATTTCATCACTGGAGAGGGATATTACTTTTTGTACTACTTTTTGGGTTTTCCTGGTCTGTCTTGCGAAGGACACTTCTATTCAAGCCTTCATTTCACGACGACTATGGAGTATAAGGATGAGTAGGCACTCGATCGTCAGAGTGATGATTTCAAGCACTGCCAGAATCCGAGTAATGGTAGGTTGCTGTCCGTTGGTGTCAATTCTGACACAATGTCACTGCCCAATGCTGTGCTTCTTAAACCACTACACCGGTGAATGCTTTTTATATCATTCGAATATCCTTCGCTTATGTCGACACCACTGGCATAGCTTGGTTACAACTGAGCCTCTCGGCCTGTATAGTTGGGCTACTGTTCGCGGATCTAATTCACCTTTCGAAGACTTCCTAAGCAGGACATTCAATAGCCCAAGTGGCAATCGATCCGAGTGATTGAAAGGAATGAACCTGTCTGGGAACAATGAGTCTGTGCAAGTTATTCAATTGATCTTGTATGCTCACAGCTCTTCAAACGCCGAAAGGTTGCTTCCGGGATGCTAGTTCGGGAAATAGGAATATTCTGTTCCTAGGTCATCACATGAGGCTGGAGTGAGTACTTCAGCATGATTTAAGATCGCATAGGCGGCGGTTCGATCATGTTTGATTGTTATACCTGAGTACAATCTCTCACTGGGCAGTAATCATTCTACCATTCGGCCCAGCCTATTCGTTGGTATTGTTATTTCCTTTTTGAGGCTCCTATTCACCACTCTATGATGACCATTATTGTTGCAGCTCAGCATTTACCATCTAGAATCTTACAAGATGTTCTTATAGACTGGAAATATAAATTCTAACAAAAACTGTCCAACAGCCTGTAGCATCCATGGCCAAATTTTGGATCTGTCTTTCGAGGTGCTTTGCAGGTTTTCGGTGGGTGCTGTAAATATTCAGGATTCCAAGATGCATGTAAAGGATTGTTGTGTATTTGCTCCATTCTGTTACAGTAATAATGCCTTATGCAATCCTTCAATACGCAAAATCAGTCTGTATCTCACTTACTGCCGTTCCTCCCTCAACTTCCCTTATTTCTTAGTATAGTGCGAGATGCATCTAGGTCTTCGGAGGGATTTCCATTAAGCTTCAATCTTACCGATGCATCGTCAGATATTTTCAACCAGGTGGATGCTAGCCAGCCATATTAGCTGGCAGAGAAATTCAATCAGCCACAAAAACGAATTATTGTTTTCCTGATAGGACTTATGGCGCTTTTTTCTCCTTTGAGCGCTTCTATTCTCTACTCTTCTATGAATAGGATGGCCGAGCAGTTGAAAGTCAACATCGAGTTGTTGAATCTCACAAGGTCAGTCTATATGGGTGCATCTAGACTTAGTACAGAAATCTTCTTGGGCATCACCAATTGAATTGGGAGACGGCGAGTGTATCTTTCTGCGATAAATATCTATCTGCTTGCCAACATATATTTACTTTATAGCGGAGATATATATTCATGTTGATATTGAGAATGTTCCAAGGCATGGCCTCTTCAAGCGTGACTATCAACTCCTTCTCTCACTCGTTGACAAGAGGATAGCTTGTGCATTCTTAGGTCTAGCAATGATCGTTGAAATGGCAACAAAAACTCAAAGCGGTAGAAATCTTGAGATTATCGCTTTTGGGTAATAACTACACTACCTAATTTTCACAATCCTATCAGTTTACTAACCATTGTATGTCCAATTATATGTCCCAGCCTCGACCCTATTATTGGGGGTATCGTGTCGCAGAAGATTGGTTGGCACTACATCATTTGCCTTCTCAGCGTCCCCGCCTTCTTATGTCTCATTCTAGTTCATTTCTTCCTCCTCGAAGCTCTAAACAATCTTAAAAATATCAACGACTCCTTCTACCAAGCCAAAAAATACTTTCTGTTGACTTTCCACCCTCGTTGCTTTCTCAACTCCTCAATCCAATACACTTCCTAAGAACATTGGGTAACAGAAACCAGATCTTAGTCGCCACAACTAACAGCATTTATCTTACGACTTTTGCCTGTATGCAAGGAACTATATCGAACACTTTCATGAAAATTTATGGACTTAGTTAGATACAAGCAGGCTTAGTATATACACCTTCGCATCAGGTTTCGCAATTGCATCTTTTGTCCTTGATTTGTGTCCATCTCCCATACAGACTTCCATTGTTTTCCCCCAGTTACTTACCCAGCACGCCTCGGCCCCATTAACATGTCAATTTTCATCGGAGCAACGCTGACAATAACCTTTATTGTATGTTCAACTCTATCACTCACTTACGCAAAAGTCTGCACATAAAATGATCATGATTAACATCTCTACGGACCTGCTTAGTTCTTAACATTGAGCTCAATCCACAATAATTTTTCAAAGCGCTAGCCTCAATCTTCAAAGCAGGGTATTTCTCTACGGCCGCAGGACTAGCTGCAGTAGACATACTGATTAAGAGTAAGTAGTCATACACTGAACTCATCTCTTGCCTACAAGCAATTAACCACTAAGCTCTTAGATCTTGAACTAGGCTAGACCTTCTCTATCTTTGCAGTAGCCTGCGCGGCCAGTATGAGATTAGTGTGGATGGACATGCGATGGGCGTTGAAGTGGACAGAAGAGTGAGCTAAGACAAGGCAAGCACAGAAAAATGGATAAGAATTAGTGCAGAAGCTGGATTCAGAAAGAGAAGAGCACCGAACTGAGAGAGTAGAAATCGTTGTTACTAGGTGAGGGCTCCGTAATGATGGACAATGTTAGGAGCTTTTTGTTTCTATACATGTAGACAGTGTTGGATTACTTGTCTTCTCGGGGTTGTTTGAACTTGAAAGTGATGCAAGGCTCTTGAACTGAGAAGTAACCATGATTTTGTCATTCTGTTTTTCTAGATCGGAGAAAGCAAGCCTGGGTAACTCCAGCACCACAACTGGGTGGAGGAAATTAGTATCCAATTATGTATTTTAGGTTTAGTTTGATGATAATGACGGATGGTACGAGGATCCTGAGATGTGGCTGAGAGCATCAAAGTCGAGTGATCAAGGTCACTGTAAGTTAATATCATAGGTGTGAGATGGCATGAATGAGGCAAGATAGAAAAATCGAAGTAAGCAATTGCATACAGTACTAGTCGAGCCTATGATGAACTCCCAATACAGAACGTAGGAAGTGTTGATATGTACCGATTGACGATTTAAGATTGTGAGATTACACTGCTTCCGAAATGTAAGTTTCGGATGAGGCACAGGAGAAGAGGTATCATTTGAAGTTTGCTGGTTGTTGGATAATAACGCTGTGCACCGTACCGTGCCGAGAATATGAAATGTTAATGATCGGGAGTGAGATGTTTGGAATTTCCAAGACAAACTGAAATTTGCCGAATCTAAGTTTGCACGTTGTACAGATGTATCTATCGATTTTCGTTGTGATATAAATGGGTACTTATCAAAATGGGCAAATGTATTTTTTGAATCTCCAGCCGAAAAGGATGAGTTTGATCTTAATTCACGGAGATGAGGATGAGCTTCAATAGATTCAAAGAAATCCATTCCTTACTTACGATGAGAACTTTACGATGAGCCAACACCGCAAATTATGCATGTCAGTGAAGGATTAATTAATTCTACTGAACCCCGGATATCTCTAACTTAGGTGCTTACGACAAGCTTCAAGAGCGGCGAAGACGTGCTATGAATAGCGTGAATCCTGTAGTACACCGTAAGGTTACACCGACCTTATGATATGGAGCGGCGATGTGACGATGTTGATGATGCTGATGTTTCTGGGAAATTATAATGACTTTGATGATTCTTGGAAAATTGAAGGGTGCATGGGAAGTTGTAGAGGAATGGATGTCTAGAGGATTGATCTGTCGGCACTACAGTATTGGGCCGCAGTATGGCCAAGCCTCGATTCGAAGGAAAGAGAGTATCTTGACCTGCCTTGTATGGTAATAAACGTCTAAAGTGTTAAGAAAATACGTGAGAGTACTTCCCATATCATTTGATGAGCTGTGATATACATATGGAGGCGGAGCGGGAAGGATGTGAATGTACGATTTGCCAAGCTCAGATAGTGAGGATATTTGATGTTTTATGTAACTTATGTGAAGTACTACGCGTTATTGGCGAAAAGGAGGAGGTAGTTGTGGTTCTATAAGGCAATTGTCTACTAGGTTGATAGGGTGACATGGATTGATATAGAGAGGGTGCGCACGGTGTTTTGTTTGTATGGTGGATGACAAGATCTTCTGGGTCTCATCGATGGATATCAGGTTTCATGCATCTATAGTGGGGGCTCATCTACATGCAAGAAATACATGAGCAAACACAAAAACGACTCGTGTTGTAGATACCAATCTGTTGGCGTGGAGGGATAGGCTTACATGGAAAAGACCAGATGAA